CACTCGGTAGCGCGGCGGGAAGGAGGCGAATGCTTCCCCTCTCTGCACTCTCCGCCTTCAGCCACATCCCGGACAGACGGGAAGGGCCTCCGGAGCTCAGCTATTTCCACCGGGAGTGCAAGGTGAGGGAAGGAAGGGGGAGAGCCACGGAGAGCCGGGGGAGAGCCACGGAGAGCCGGAGGAGAGCCCCGGAGAACTGGGGGAGAGCCCCGGAGCCTCGTAGGGCCCGGCGGGGCCGGAGGGACAAACCTTCCCCGTGGGTTTCTGCGCAGGGTAACGACATTGTGCTCGGCTCCCGTGCAAGGGAGGGACCTGGTCAGGCGGGTGTCTAAAGATAGGCCTTTAATATTGCAAAGGCTGGCAGAACTGCTGCGCGTTAGTCACTAGCTAGGCTGTCTAAAGCAGGTTTCATCTTCAGAGGCCTTTGCAAAGTGTAACAGGTTTTTGCTACTTGTGGGTGGAAAATGAGAAGATAGAGATGTGGTTTGCCAAGGATTAAGGACCAGCTGGCCACGTGGCATCACCGAAATGCAAGATGTCTTTGAGGGGAACACTAGGAGAGGCATTATCTGTCACTAGGGTTGGATTTGGCACCTGTGTTTTTTCTGGAAACACGTATTTTCAGGGTGTCTTTAATAAGAAACTGCTCCATTTTCAGTTGAGGGAAAAGGTTTTCAATGTGCAGTGCACAAATTTTCCATATACTCAGCTTTAATGAAGAAAGTAGAAAGCTCTAAAAGTAGAGCTACTCAAAACAGTAACATCAGCATATTCCTCGATAACTGAATGCTTCTGAAGGTGTTACACTGACACTTAACACATAGTAACTCAAGTAGACTAGCAGGAAGCCTCACCCCTCGCTCTGCTGCATTATATCACCCTTTTTCTTCATTCCCTCTGTCCTCATATTTAAAATCAGAAACGAAAACAATCTTACACCTTCAGCCTCAGCTGGGCTGTACTTCCTGGGTGGCAAACCTTTCTCTCTCTGAAAAGAGTCATATAAGACATTGAACTTAACAGCTTTTTCTTCAAAAAAAAAAAAAAAAAAAAAAAAGCTCTGAAATGTCTATTATATCAATGTAATATAGCAATATTATGGCAACATGTATCTATTTATAACAATAAATACAGCCCATGAATCCCCTCCCCACCCAAGTGACAGGCTGCTGAATGTGCAGAGCACTGGGCAGCGATGACTGGCGACTTGTGAGAGTTTGCAGGTCATCTGGCCCTGGGATGCGAGCAGGGTGCAGACCACAGCACAGCGCTGGGCATTAACGGAACAGCAAATTTTGTGCAATGACCGGGTGGCCCTGCGAAAAGACAGGTAGGCTTGTAATTTCAGGCTCTTTTGTGTTGACTGCAGCGTTACTTTGGGAAGGTGCTCTGAGCCAAAGGTGAGTGGGCACAGTTGCAGCCATGCTTAACAAAACACGGTAAGGAGAGCACGACAAGGCTACGGCTAGGGCAGGTCAGGGGGCTGGCGTGGTGCAATTGGGGCTGGTGGAGCTTGCAGTCTATCCAGCCTGCACGGAATTGGGGACCATATGGTAGAGGTTTTGCTTGCAATATAAAGTCTGTTTTCACACTCCCAATGACCTGGTATGTGGAAAACGCTGCTCCAGTGGCATGGAAACGAAAAGTGATTAAGAGCTGTTTAATAGGTTTCCTCACAGAACAGGCCTCAGCTGCAGGGGAGAAAGCAGATTCAACTGCTTCGTTTGCACAATTAAGGAATCAGATAATTTCAACTTTTTTTTGTTTATGCAGGAAAGGGAATTTCATTCCTTTTTGCAGCTTAAATACCTAAAACCGTGTGTCAGAGGCTGAAGCAGAGAGAAATAGAGGAAGATCTCTGCACACAGCCAGAAGCCAGAAATCCCCACCTTTTAATCCCTTGGCTGACAGTTGCTCCCTCGATTGCTTTAGATGAGTTACTGTAGCCAGTTTGCACGATGTTTCCTCTTCTGTGACATAGAGAAAGCTATTACCTATTTTATGTGTGTCTGGAATATTAATAAATGTTTGCAAAGCGCTTTGCTTAGTTTTAGTAGTGGTACACAGAGGATGCCCATGCTGCGTGCAAATTTATCGTCTGCTCTGTGGGGTTCACTTGCTCTGATGGGCTTAAGAAATAGCTCCACACCACCACCACCTAGGCCAACCAAGCCAGCATTTAACAGCAAAGAGAAACAACAGCAAAAAGTTATCACTATATTGAGCACAGAGGTGTTGCCTCTACACATCTGGCAGAAGATCTTAAACAGATCATCTGGGACAGAGCTAGTTTTTAACTTAACAGGCTAGCTACCTGTCTGCACGCTCCAGAAAGAATGAATTAACTGCTCTGACACAGCTACCAAATAATGGACAAATAATGCCACGTGAATAAAAACGAAGGAACAAATGACATTCCTGGTGGTGAGCACAAATTAGATGCCCACTAAAATTCTGAATGAAAGTGGTAGCATGGGGAGGAAAGGAAAAGCAAGAAAGCACAGAAATAATAGTAATGGGGGTGACAATCAGGTGCAAGATGCTCTTGAACATGCCTGAAATTCTGTGAGGCTTGATGGTTTCTGAGAAATTAAGGGACGGATAGGTTAAATATCAAACCACCTCTCCTCTTGGCAGAACCAAGTAATGGAGATACCCTTCCAAAAGAAGCCTGTGATTACAGCAGTGCCTCACTAGTGCTCTTACCTATGGTTTCCTTTTAATGGAACTATTACAGCCGTCTTGACCTGCCCTGACTTGACTGTTTTTGGAGGATAACATTGTAAGTTGTAAGACTCAAAATACAAAAGTTTTTCAAAGGCTGAATTTGGCACACTGTAAAATTAGAGGTAAAACAACGCCCAACAAAATGCACATTTTTTCAAATTTGTAGTCAGCCATGCACAAAACTAGTGATTGACATGTTTGCCAGAATATGGACCTTTTAATGAAGTTCATTAATAACAACTGACAGCGTATTTCAACAGACTATTTTGCTTTTCTTGAAATTTTTTTTTTGTTTTGAAATTCCTTTGATTCCATTGATGAGAACTTCTTGACTGGATTTCACAAATGCTTTTGTTAGCAGATGTGGCTTATTTGGATGCAACTATGTCAATAGGTATCATAAATACAATAATATTCTGGCCTGAGGTGTGCTGTATTTTCATACATGACAGAGACATGCATACTACTGGATTACCACTGTGGCATGTTTCTGAACTCTTCTCAGTTCTGCTTTAATCAGAAATTAAATGGTAATTCTACTGCAGGATATCCTTGTTTTTTTCATTCCAAATGAATTCTGAAACTGCCTGCTTTCCTTTTACATTACAGTGCCAGATCATTTGACAAATCTATGAACTTAAGAAGGAGAATACAAAGTTCAGACAAGTAAAACAAACAAACAAAGCAGTTAAATTTCCAAAAATTACAAGAGATTACAGGGAAAAATTGAGGTAAATTGCCACAAGGGAAATTTCAGAGCTGAACAGAATTTAAAAAGATACCAAACATCATTAGGTGTTTTTATTGCAGACCGTTCAAAAGGAGTGACCCAAACTTGCTAATGGTAACTCAGTAAGATTACAGTTGCCATCACCTAATGCTGTATGTGCACTGTTATTAATTATTAAGTATTGAGTTATTAAGTATTGATTCAACCACATATATTCTGTAGCCTGTAAAGTTAAGCAATACTGTGAATTAGCTATTTTTTCCCCTTTTCTCAAGACAGGAGATGTTTCCACTTATGATTCCATTTTTAAAATACCAGAGGGTTACAACAAAAATCTTCACCGATGTGACAGAGAACATGCAAAGAGTCGTGGTCTTAACATTAATGAGGAGGTAACCCTTTGATAATTTCATAATTATCTTTGTTAAAAGTATTTATACTTTTTGACATGGCTGGAGACTATAGGCATTGTTTTACCCTTTATAATGCAGCCTATATGGTATCAAACGAATTGGAAGGAGGAGATTATTGCCCTCAGCCTGGAGGTTTAAGAAAAAGCATTAGCCAGTGTCCTGGTTTCAGCCAGGATAGAGTTAATTTTCTTCGTAAAAGCTAGTGTGAGCCTGTGTTTTGGATGTGGGATGAGAAACTGTTGATAAGATGCTGATGTTTTGAGTTGTCGCTAAGCAGTCAGGGACTGTCCAGCTTCTCGTGCTGGCCGGCCAGCGAGCAGGCTGGGGGTGCCCGGGGAGCTGGGGGGGGCACAGCTGGGACAGCTGACCCAGGCTGGGCAAAGAGATATTCCACACCATATGGCATCATGCTCAGTGTATAGAGCTGGGACGAAGAAGAAGGAAGGAGTGGGGGGATGTTTGGAGTGATGGCGTCTGTCTTCCCAAGAAGCCATTACGCGTGATGGAGCCCTGCTTCCCTGGAGATGGCTGAACTCCTGCCTGCCCGTGGGGAGTGGTGAATGGATTCCTTGTTTTGCTTTGCTTGTGTGCGCGGCTTTTGCTTTGCCGATTAAACTGTCTTTATCTCAGACCATTAATTTCCTCACTTTTACCCTTCTGATCTCTCCCCTGTCCCCTGTGGGGGAGTGAGTGAGCGGCTGCGTGGGGCTTAGTTGCCGGCTGGGGTTAAACCATGACAGCCGGTGAAGACACCTGAGTTAGCTCCAGCTCTTTGGCATCCTGTAGATTTCCAGGTGACAAGCCATGTGTAAGTTAAAGCATGGGGAAAGAGATTGACACAGCAAGGCAAACCCTCTTTTACAGAGCTTCAGGTCACTGAGAGTGACTTCTGAACCATCTGTGCCCCTTGAAAGTTGCAGTTCAGGTGGTCCAGCAGCTATTTCTGTCATGCTTGAAAACTCTTCTCCCTGAGAGGACTGGATTCAGCAGCCCCAGCTCAGTCAGCGTCCCCTGACATCACCCTCCCTATGTCAGTGTTTGCTGAGAGCCCAACTCTCTGAAGCTGGTGAGTTTGTTACGCAAACTTACACTGGACTGCCCTGCAGGAAGGAAATTCATAGGGAGCTAGTGCAAAGGAGGGGTCAATCAGAAGACCATGGACATGCCTGGAATAGCTTGGCCAAAGCATTCAAGGCTGACAGAATCTGGGTTTGGTGTGCTGCCTGATAGCTAAGGAAGTATGCAGCCATATTTTTAAAAAGCTGCCTTGAAACAGAAATACTAATATATATACATCTATACAAATATGTATTTTTCCATGCAGTATCTAATACACATACATACATAGGTGTGTATGTATATACATTTGTATTTATAAACACACATACACGCAGAGGCAGAGGCTGTCAAAAACCAAAGGAAGTGTAACCTCTGTGTGTTAATGGCCTCAAAATCCCAATGGTTTCATGGGTTGTAAAGAGGTGGGTAGGCTAAGAATGGCTGCCTGTATTGGTGATTATAGATGATAGAGATGGAAGAAAGGAGAGCGAGCCAAAAGTTAAGATTACTGTAATTGCTGTGTAATAAAAATTGCTGGTTTATGACAAAGGCCACTGCTCTCTAGCAGCTATATGTGCCAAATGTTCCAGTGCACAGCCATAATGCCCTTCAACTCTATCAGACAGTGCAGGGAGTATTAGGTGCTCCCAAAGGAATCCCAGTAGTGCCCATTATCACTGCTCATGCCTAATAACAAAACTGCAAATCTGTGTGAGGCCAAAAGCCATGTAAATGACTACACCAATTAAAAATGAGCCTTTTTATTTAAACAAAACAAAGCCATCCCCCTCCTCCAACACCAAGCCCAACCTCCAGCTGGGAAATGTGTGTAGAAACAGTTTATCAATGCAGAGTTAAGGCTTCTGACTGAGCTTTTGTGTCCTTTCGGTATCACCAGAAGTCACTTTCCTACCAGCTTGCTTCCTAAAGAAAATGCATATGGGCCTGAATTCATACCAGCTCTGCTGGGCAGTGCACACAAGGGACTCTGCCCGAACAGGTGTCCCTTAATCCAGCCCTTTGATTAGCATGGAGACACATCAAACCCACAGCTGTTAAATGTTACAACATGATCCTCCTGCACGTGATGACACCCGACGCACTTACCCAAAACTAAGGTCACATACTCAACTCCTGCTCTTTAATTACCTCAGTGGCCCTCACAGACTTTATATAATAATAACTATATTATAAAACATAATAAATAAAAAGGCCACAATTGACATCTTTCTAGTAAAACACTGAAAGGAGACAGGCTGAATCCACCACAGTACACTCCTTTCCTTGAAACGGGAAAAACCAAACCACCACAAGTAAACCCTTCATTTCTTGCACAGAGCCTGGGTGCACCCAGGGAATCCGACAGCGCGGTCGCAAATACTCGGTTTAGCTACAAGTAGCACAGCGACCGCAGCAGGGTGTTTGCGCAAGGCTGCCGTTGCTGATTTCAAGTGTTAAGAGTGCTAGAATTACACGCTGCGAAGGCGTGTAGCGGGACGCTTCCCAGCCAACTGTTGGAAAATCTGAAATCTGCTGAAAAGATGAAATACCACTGTGCAGAGTCAGCGCTGTGCTACCAAGGCTGCTGAAAACTTATTTACTTAAAGTGAACACAAACTATCAGAATTTCATACCGCTGCCCATCGTTAGCACTGTAAACCCTGTATTGCTAGCAAAGTCTTTCTTGATGATACAAAGATTCTGTCATTTCTCCTTTTTCAACATCTATCCACAACTGGGGGTGGGGAGGAAATGGCCTTATTTTTTGCCTGCCACTCTTCTTCACTTGATTTTTGGTCTGGTGGGGTTATAAGTTGGTGTACTGAATAGCTTTTAATGGGGTGGAGCAAGGTGGACAGGAAGGATGGGGTTGGAGATTTGGGGATTGAATAGTTGTTTTGGAGTAGGCTTTTCTGTTGGGTTTTTTTTTGAAAAAAGGGTTTGCAGCATCTTCCCAAGAATGTCAGGTCTAATTCTGTTCATGAGTCTGGAAATGTCTCACAGATGATTGCCCTGCTCTGAGACCCCTCTGATCCTTGCAGAAAATACAGGGGCTCGTGTGCTTCACGGGTTCTATCATAGATTGTGATATGGCTCAGACTCACATCTGTTGTAGCAAAGAAGTCATTTGTTTGCACCTGAACTGTGGTGTGGCATCCGCATTTTGATTCTCCTTGTAGATATTATTTATATTATAAGACTAGGTAAACACATTGGGGAGCAAGGCTCACTCTGTTACCCAGTGAGCAACATACAGCCAGCCTGATAAATTTGGCATCTTTGGCTAGGGAAAGAAAAACAAACAAATCCCGTCTTTCCCTTCTGACTCCAGAGCTCCTCATTGCTGTAGCACAGGAAGGAACTGCAGATTGCAGATAGTGATTGCATAGTCACTTAAAGTGCAGTTTACTAAAAAAGAAGTTTAAAATAATCTTTTCTTGGTCAGGTCATTTTTCACCAAGTCAGCTCCCCATTATTGCAGAGCAGTTATTTCTGTAATCTTACAGCTACAAGCATTTTTAGTAAAACCTTTCACTGTGCAAAAATACAGTACTAAATGCTTTATGTCCTTCAGGGAAAGCTTGCATGGACTAGTGGTTGCTCAGGATTTTTCTTTAGGCTTTGATTTTTTTCATGCAGTGATTTCACTGAATTGTGCAAGCAGGGTAGGTGTTTCTGTAACAGGAGATACAAATTAAATCTCTCCTATTTTTCAAATGAATCATGCAAGTCGATGCACAAGAAAAATAAGAATGAAAAAATCTGTGCCACTTTCCAGTAACATAGAAATTAGTTTGCCAGTAATCACACGGTAATCACCGCTGTGTGTGTGTGTGTAAAAAATTATCAGTCCACAGTAACCCATGGCACGGCTCCATATCCTATCATCTTGTCATCTAGTGATATGTTCATGGTTTATTAAGATATGTAAAAAACTAGGTCAGAGATGGAACAGTAAGGGTACAGATCATTGCTAAATAAATATACATCTGTATAGCAGATGCTGTACAGTTCTGCCTCTTTGCCCCTGGCCACAGCGCATTTAGCAGTAGATAACTGCCAAGTATTTGCTCTGTGATTTTCTTATAAGGAGAATTTTATATTTTCACAGGAAATGGCAAGACCTGTCGCTGTTTTGTCATCTTCAGAGTATGGGAGACGCATAAATAAACCCATAGAGCAACCAATCAGAGCTCATGCAAGGATTAATCACGTGCAGGCAGAATTCTACAGGAAAAGTGGCATCATCTGCTTACTGGAAAAACCTTCTCCAAGCCTGGATCCGTGCTAAATCTCTTGTACCTGTCATCACCAGCAACATTTATGTGGAAGAACACCCACTTCGCATCAAAAAACAATATTGTGCTTTTGCCTTTTCCTCTACATTTCGGTTAATGAGAATGATTTGGATTAAAGATAGGATGAAATAGCAGCTGTAGTTTTCCTCATGCTAATTCAAATGCATGTCATCTCCTTACAGTCTCATAAAAATCTTATGACGAAAAGGATCAGCAAGAGCTGAACATTTTAGGTAGCAAGACTGGAAATGGGACCTGTTGGGTCAACAGCTGTGTCTCTGCTATTTTAGGCAGTGCTTCTACATAACTATTCACAGATTTAACATTTAAACAAGCTTGCTCCTCAAGACATCAGTGATCACTGACTTCTTAATCCTTACAGTGTTGCTACAAAATTGCTAGGTGTTATTTTATCTGCACAACAGCTGAAATGGGGATTCAACACAGATTTTCCAAAATGGACGGGCTTACCCATAAATGGGCAAATAAAGAAATGATCTTACTTAGAGAAGTGCTTAGTAGTTTCAGTAGACTTCAAGTGGAAGTCAAGTTAAAGGGAACTTCTAAGTACTTAGCATTTAAATAGACAAAATCTGGGCTTAGCTGATTACAGACGTCCATTTTGCTGACTTTCACTATACGAACAGGGTCTGAGGGATTGATCTGTTCAAGAGTGTCACAAGAAAAATCATCTTTGGTTCTGTACCCAAGGCTGGAAAAAAATAATACTAGGAAAACAAGCACTAAATAACTTGGTAGACAGGATGGAAAAAAACACAAGGATTTGAGCAGTAGTCATTTAAAAAGCATGTTTAGAGTAAATGTCTGAATCTGCTTAAACATTTAGTGCCTTGTGTTCTCACTGAATCCAGTACTAGTTTTAAGGTAGTTTCAGGAGGAGTATCTCCTGCAGGGTATGCATCGGTTTCATTCTCAAAAGCCATTGATCCTGCTGCTGTTTAAAGCTGAGGCAGTATTGCTCAGAAAGGAACAACAGCTGGACTGATCGTACCAGAAGGACTGGAAGTCCACAGCTTTGACTGACACTGGAGTTCTGTCAGGTAGTTATACATAGGACACCTATATCATTTGTGAACACAGTGAGTCTCCGAGTATAAAATAATAAAAACAAGGAACTTTTTAATCTGGGGCCTGGATAAGTAGTAGATTAGGCAATCGATAGCACTTGTTTGGCATGATGTGAGAAGCAAAGCAGACAGAGCAGCCCATTCCAAGAGGTGTTTCTTACTTTTATCATCATGGCCTGCAAGTTCCTTTATATTCAGTGAGCAAGGGACAAGAGGGCAGTAACTGCTACATTCCTTTTCGGTAATAAATACTCCATTAAACAAATCCAGCAGCATTAAAAGAAAAGGAATCAAAGTGAGAAGGAAATGTTTTCTAACAATACCAGAATGCTTTTTCAAGAACCAGTGTCAAATGTATACCAGTGAAGAATGAGATGGAATATGGCCATATTCTAGGCAGGGTATTTTTAGTTTGGGACACTCAGTACAAATTACTAAGAAGTAAGTTAAGATCAAGTAGCATTACTATATTTACAAACCATCTGTGTCTGAAAAAGTGTAAGAAATTGTTTGTTTGAGAACACCACCACCTTCTGGCCTTTGTGAGAAATAGGCATCACCAGTTCACTTCCACCCAGGAGAAAAGCATGAGTTATCGAAACACCACTATGAGTTTTGCTCTCATTTCTTTGCTTATGTCACCCTCTTCTCTTTCAGTCCCTTGTCATCCCTCCTCACTTTTGAAGGCTTTCACAGGTTGTTCCTCCTACTACTTGTTTCTCATTCAGTTCTGAGTGGTTGACTTCTCCCTTCAGTGCTCAAGAATTCCTTGATGGTTTCTTCTGTACTAGGGAGTGCTGACATAATAATGTAAGGGGTTTACACATGCAACAAATTAACATGAACAAAATGGATAGCATGACACAATGTAAATCATATTTTGGATCTGGACTTTGCATCCAATAATCTCCAGGGATTGCTGGGATGATTGACAGACACCTGCAACTCACAAATTAGTAACAGTAGCCTTGGAAGGGAAAATGGCCATGTTCTGTATCTACTGGTGAAACATATAGAACTTTGAAGATGTACAAGTTTCACCTTTTTTGTATCAAATCATAATAATTAAAATCAAACCAGGTGATGCTGGGAATTCTGCTTTGCTACTCATAAACAGTAATTCTACACAGGACAGGATGCACAAGCTAACCTGAAAATGTGTTTTACATGGCAGTTTGTCAAGTTTATGTTATGTGATGGGAACTAAGGCTACATTATTTTCCCTTCATCCATCTGTAGAACAACACAAAGTCAGGGCATGCTTGTTGCAGCTGAAGTCGTTACTGGTTCCCGTTCTCAGCTCTACCCTTCTGACAGAATTTATAGTGGTACATAAAAAAAGGACTGCACAGGTCATAGTTCTTCTGAGCTTCAGAGCGTAATGAGGTTGAGTTTAGGCTCCTCTTTAAGGCAGGCTGTAAACTGAAGGATCTCTGGAGTGCGTACATGACCCTATTTAGACAGTTTAGCTAAAACTGCCACCAAAGACAAAACTACAAATAGTACATACCCAGAACCTAGGGTGGCCCCTGTGCAAGTCCACTACCCTATGGCAACTGTTCTTTTACAAAGTAAAGCAAATATTTTTAATAAAAATGCTCTCATTTTCTGTGAGCAGCACTCTGCATCTCTTAATACGACCAGTAAACCAATACTGCTTGTGCAACTACTACAAATTTTAGTTTTACGAAACACTTGGGAAATCACATGAACAGCTATGACTAAATTGCACAATTTCTTTTTATACTGCCAAGAAAAGCCCTGATTGGTAGGCAGCATGACACATTCTGTACATTCGTCAGCATATTCTGTACTTTCAGCAACAGCCAGTACCCTTGTATAGTCACATCTGTCCATCTGCAGTTGTGAGTTAGAACCAGGGAAATACAAAGGAAACACAGCACTGACCATCTGGCACTTACATCTGTTAACTTGTAATAAATATTGACACAAAAATTAAGAAAATATGTTGCTCTTTATTAAGTCTTTACATGTCAATTGTTGCAAATATTGGAAGGTCTCACATTCAGAAGCTCAAATTATTTTAGGAGGAGTTATTCAGAAAACAGAATTGTCTTCCATGCACGATATTTACATTTCTAGTACAGGAGGTCAACCTGTGATTTAGTATTACTCTCCAGTGTCAGCAGCTGAGTCCGTATGTATGAGGAAAGACTTTTTTGTGTAGATATTTTGCCATTTTTCTGCAACTTTGTAGACTCTCCATCTCAAAAAATGGAATCTGGAAACAAACAACAATGATTGCTGGAAATACCTTTTAATAAACAGCTAAGTAAGACTGCTGTTCATTAAGCAGATGTAAAATTATACATCAAAGACTTATCTGTTTTCAAAATAAACATTTAATCCTAACCATATTATTGATCTGTAAATAACCTGAATAGAGATTATTGTAAAACAAAGTTTAAACTGTAATGGATATCGGTCTAAGTTAAATATAATAGAGTTAGGCTTATGTGATATGTGATTATAAATGGAAAAGAAAATCTCAAAAATCTAAAAGTAACTTTCTTGGTCCAAAGTATGTTTAAAGATAAAAATAGAATCATAGAATCATAGAACAGTTTGGGTTGGAAGGGATCTTTAAAGGTCACCTAGTCCAACTCCCCTGCAGTGAGCAGGGACATCTCCAACTAGATCAGGTTGCTCAGAGCCCCGTCCAACCTGACCTGGAATGTTTCCAGGGATGGGGCATCTACCACCTCTTCAGGCAACCTGGGCCAGTGTTTCACCACCCTCATTGGGAAAAATTTCTTCCTTATATCTAGTCTGAATCTGCCCTCTTTTAGTTTAAAACCATTATCCCTTGTCCTATCACTACAGGCCCTGCTAAAAAGTCTGTCCCCATCTTTCTTAGAAGCCCCCTTTGAGTACTGGAAAGCTGCAATAAGGTCTCCCTGGAGCCTTCTCGTCTCCAGGTTGAGCAACCCCAACTCTCCCAGTGTGTCTTCACAGGAGAGGTGTTCCATCCCTCTGATCATTTTGCTGGCCCTCTTCTGGACCCGCTCCAACAGATCCATGTCTGAGGGCTCCAGAGCTGGATGCACTACTCCAGCTGGGGTCTCATCAGAGTGGAGTAAAGGGGCAGAATCACCTCCCTCATCCGGGTGGCCACACTGCTTTGGATGCAGCCCAGGATAGGGCTGTGAGCGCACATTGCCAGCTTATGTCCAGTTTTTCATCCACCAATGTCCCCAAGTCTTTCTCAGCAGGGCTGCTCTCAATCCCTTCATCCCCCAGCCTGTACTGATACCAGGGGTTGCCCTGACCCACGTGCAGGACCCTGCATTTGGCCTTGTTGAACCTCATGAGGTTCACATGATTCTTTGTGTGAAGGAATTCACATTCCTTGAGCTTTTCCAGGTCCCTCTGGATGGCATCCCGTCCCTCAGGCATGTCAACTGCACCACTCTGCTTGGTGTCATCTGCAAACTTGCTGAGGGTGCACTCGATCCCACTGTCTATGTCATTAATGAAGATATGTCAATGTCACTGATGAAATACCCTTATTAAATACTCTCTTGTGAAAGTATTACTTACAGAGCAGTTTCTTTTTCATATCTCCTCTTTTTAAACTCCAAATTCTGACCTGATTTTTTAAAAAGTATTTAATTAAAAATCCTAATGCTACTGAACTCTTAGACAACATTTTCCTTTAAGTCAAGTTTTGAACCATCACTGCAGAGAAGTACTCTTTTAAGCAGCCACTATTTTACAGAAAACACAAGCAGAATTGATCCAAGAAAGAAAAAGAATTTCTGTACACCCTCAAAAAGGCAAAAGCTAGGCAGAGAGAATGTAATGTAGAAAGGACAAGACTACATCTGCCTTGGGAAGTAATTGCAACTAGAGTTTTAAGCATTATAAAATAATCATTTTTTATT